TCGCCTTCCCCGCTGAATTATTTGCGCTCCCCAGAAGCGACTGGAAAAAGTGCCGTGGAGGATAACCAATGACGTGGAGAAGGAGCATGAGGAATGCAACCTCAAGCTTAGCATCCATCGGACGGGTCCGTCTTCTAGGAAGGGGACCACACGATTCGCGCTGCCAGTGGTTAAAATGTTGGAGGCTATGGCGCGCAACCGGCATCAGTGCAGCCAGGGCTGTTCAACCGTGTAATCTATTAGATAACGTCTCATGGAACATAAAACTCCAAAACACAAATAGATCCCAAAGCGGCGTGTGTAAAACCAAAAAAAGTTTCTTTCACATTGTACTTCGTTTCCCCATGGTTCTGATTGCACATTATTGGTAATCAGATTGTGAATATATATATATATATATATATATATATATTAGCAGGCGGGAGAGCCGATGGTGCGCTGAGGCTGGTTGTGGCTAGAACCTAACAGATGATCTACGCACCGCTGCTATTGTTGCGCCATTGCCTCATGTCCTGGACGAATCTTGCCGACCGCTCGGTGGGAGTTGGGTTTCGCCCTTCTCCCTGTTAAGATCCAGGACACCAATCCGCATGAGTCAGTGAATTGACCATGTGCTAGACCCGCTGTCTTTCGGGTGTACATTTAATCGAAGGCTTTGGCTGAGGAGTCGAGTCGTTCTCCTGTCAAGTGCGGGCGCCTTGCCAATATCCTTCCCAGTATCCACTCACTAGGCCTGCCTGACTCAGGCACTCGCGACCGCATGTGCTATGGCATCATGCGGTCGATGTCGATGGAGTACAACCCATCGGTGCTTGCCGCTTCTTCTCTGCATGCATGAGGACTTTCTCTCGCATTTCGACAACTGCCTTCTTGCTCAGATCACGCCATGCACGCCGATCAACCGCTTTCGATTCCCATGACCTGCAATCAAGAGTAGAACGTGAGAGGCTCACTTTAATCATGTCTTTTTAAGGTAATTTTGGTTTCCCCACATGTCGCCTCCCAATACTCAGCTGACCGTATAAGAGTTGTTTCGGTATTCGCGTCGAACCCATAAGGGCTCAAATGACCGAGCCACCTCAGGTGTCGCAGCAAAAGTATGTAGTCCACTGCACGCCTCCCACTTTGTCGCAACACTTCCGTGGCCGCAACTCTGTCGCCCCAACTGGTGCGCAAGATCCGTCGCAAACACTGCTGATGGAACCGCTCGAGATATCGCACATCCCGATGGTACATCGTGCACGTTTCACTGCCGTACTGAAGAATGGACAGCACCATGGATTTGTACACCATCAGCTTCGTGCTAATGGGAAGCTGATGGTTGTTCTACACTCGGTATTCTAGTTTCCCGAATGCCCCCGCTACCTTCGACACGCGGATACGCAGCTCACTGTGTAGCTGCTCGTCAGCTGACATCACACTCCCAAGGTAGCAGAAGTGGGAGGTGGTTTCCAATACTTCAGCACCAAGGCTGATTCGCGGCAATGTTGAAGACTGCACCTCAGGTGAAGGCTGAAAGAGACAGACAGTTTTGCTTGTGTTTATGGTGAGCCCGAATTTGGCCGCTGTCGAAGCCAGAGCACTAGTCATGTGCTGCAATATATATATATATATATATATATATATATATATATATATATATATATATATATATATATATATATATATATATATATATATATATATGGTTGGCGGCATCCGGTTTCGGATTTGCCTGTCACTGTGGCAAGCCACAGGACGCCTGCGCCTACAGAGGGACCATGGATGGCTTGCGCTGCACCACCCACAGCTCCAACCACACACCCCATATCCAGTGTAAACCCGAAGGAATAAGACCGGGAGGCATGCGGATGGGAGCCACGTTTCATCAACGGAGCCGGCCCACACCACTTCACAGGCAAACACAAGCACACTGTATTTGGGGAATCAAGCGCACACACAAGGCGGTGGCTGGACCGTAGTCCGCTCCACACTGAGTGCATGGAACCACTCTTCGAGCCTAACACGGCCACAAGGACCGTGCACCCCGTCCCCTCCAGCAACGACCAACTGTCTCCTGGAGCCAGTATGGACGACGTAGTGGGTAATAGACAGGTAGGCACCTTGTCAACATGCACATCAAGCGCAGCCACACCGGGGATATCAAACAACAGCCAATCACTTGAGAGAGAGAAAGAAAAAGAGAAAAACTCGATTAATGCATAAGGAAACGGTGACATAAACCTTAAATACGTAATAAGTTGTTTACAAACACACCCTAGCTAAGTGCACGAGGTCAGGAAGTATAGTTCACGGTATGCCACGAACACAAAAATGTTATGGAAATCGAATACAATTGGCTGAAGCGATGTGTGCAAGTTAATGGAATAGAGTACAGGGAGATATTTATATGAGAAAGAAAAGCAGTAAGGTAAAAACTGTAAACCCACCACCTGAAATAAAGAGACTTAGCATGCAAGCACGCGGTTAGTAAATCGAATTCAGCGTGCCTACAAACGCTGCGCCGGCTCGCCGTATATATATATATATATATATATATATATATATATATATATATATATATATATATTGGGCGACAGTGAACTACGAATTAGATCAGGTAGTCTATCCTTGGGCGTGTCTTGTTGGTTTGGGCCGGTTTTGAAATATTCAACGAGTTGTCATTACGCCACCGTTCCAAGCACTTAGACTTTCCTTCAATCATTATGCATGAGTAGTTCAATTTAATGGGTGCTGTTATCAGGAATAGGAGAACCTGATTTATCCATTTGATGTGTAGAGGGTGCTTCAATGGAGCAAGGAAGGACGGTTTTGGAGCTAGTTGACAATGCTGATTAAGTATGCAGGTCTAGATCTAGTATCCACCTTGGATGCACTTGTCTTTTGGTTGTTTAACTGAGGTTCCTCGAAGTGCCTAGTTATTTATATCCGGTGTTCACGGCACAGTGCGACTTTCTCGCTCAAAAATTTTATAATGATTGGGCAACAGTGTTTCCGGGACTTCTTAAACGTTGGCATTTTCAGTCAACGTCAGATAGGTGACAAGCTTTCGGTACCGTTAGTTTTACTTTAACCAGACCCAACCTGTCCGCAACATTAAAAAGAATCACATTTTTGCACTAAATATTCGTTCGTGCACTTCAGAGGCAACAGAGGCAATCAACTGCCTTGCTTTTCCAATTGGAATAGGATCAGTCTTCTCCAACGCGTTATTGATGTAATCAAGTGTAATCAGGTGATCTTTGATGGTTTCAAAGTGCCAGCGTTTTTCCCACTCATTAAGTCGTAATTCCGAAGACAGCAGTTTGTCACTTAGTTCTGCAATGAGGTTATTGTTAGCAGAGGAACAGATTCGCTTGTAATTTGGGACCTCGTATTTTATTCGCTTTGTTGGTGGCGTGGAAAGTACACTACGCTTCGCTTGCCGAATACGGCGAGACTACAGTAGGGCCATTGCGATGTAAGCTTGTCAAGGTTCTGACTCAGGCGCCAAGGTAACGCAATGAAAACCAACCTTGTGTGATTTCTCACTGTTGGAGTTTGATACAAGGGTTAGATTACACGACTACGTTTGTGGATAATAGCCACTATTCAACGAACATGTCCAGACGTGCCCCCCCCCCTGCAGGGGGGCAGTGTCTATACACACACACACGCACGCACAAGTGAACACTCGCGCACACGGGTCAACCAACGGGTACTTTGGACTTGGCAGTCGGGCTGAGGCACGCGCTAAGCAAACAAAGTGTGAATCGACTGTGCGTCGATTACTGATCAACAGCGGGTGCGACAAACCGCCTGGCGGGGTTGGATTGCCAGCAGTAAACTGGTGGCTGCAATGTATGGTATAGCGGCTAAACAAGGGATTGGATGAGCACGAAGTTAGGCGAGTCGTATAGTCTGGAAAATACTCTGTCGAGTGAGAGTAAAATATCCGTGAAGTTGAAAGTGAAGAAGCTTCGCGCATGAATTCCTATGACAAGTCCGCCCAAAGTGTTAGGATTACTCCGACAATTTTATATCCATTGTGTGGGGCTGATAAATCCGGGTGGAATGAGTGTAGGCTGGAGGTGGAGGTGGAAAACATCTCAGCTATTGTGCCGCAATACAAAAGACAAGAAAATGAAAACAAACAGTGGCACGCCCGCTGAGTCCCCAGTAACGGATGGACATCGTTCCGGAAAGTTAACAGCTGGCTGCCGTAAAAGAGAGTCATATTATGCCTAACAAGTGAGATCGTGATTGGAGGGGGATGCTAAGCAGGAGGGGGTGGACAAAGGAACTCACAACACAAACGCCATTGAGGCCGGCTCCCAGCCATATCAGCAAGTGTGTCCAATCAAACGTGAGCAGCTAGATAGTAATGGAGTATCCACACAAAGTCGCTAACTGATTTGGTCCGTTCGCACGTCACCCTGCGTCAAGGTCACCGATTACTGCTAACACACTACCACCTTGCGCTTCTGGAAGATGCAGCGATTGATGAAGTTCCTTAACGTGGATGCGAAAGACCTGGATATGTCATCTTTTTACTCCAGTGAGGCATTCAACTACAAGATGGCTATCTCGTCTAGAATGCAGTTGGGGGCGAACATGCGCTAGGCACTGGCTGATAGACCAACTGAGATGTCATGGAATCCCCTAAACGACGAAGCTGCGGCTGTGTACTGGTCTGTGTAGATCAGGTAATAAACGAAGTGTACGACAAATAGGCAATTCGTTTATACTGTGATCAAAAATAGTGTGATTTAGTTCAGACAGCCGAATTCTCCCAAAAACAAAACCAGTTTACTAAACACCAACATTGAGGGTTATCACTGATGAAAAAACGTTAGAGCAGAGGACAGCAGCCGCAGCACCGAAACAGTGGGTGGTGTCACTTGAATCGTGCCTCCTCCAAGCCCATGGCCCAATGCGCTGATGTTTACTTCACATACAGCCCGTGTAAGATGTGTTTCATCTCAAAGAGAGCTATGAAAACAAAATAGCAGCTGACTCACCTTGCGTAAAGCAACGACATATTGTTCAACCTGGGCTTCGGTTATGCCATGTTCCTTCCAATACTATGGGGAAATTACAAAAAAAGAATAACCATATATGCTGGTGGTGAAGTGGATTAGCAAGGAGGCAGCATGATTATTAGGGCAGTATGCAGGGACCGTCAAACTTTCGGATGACGTCAAGAAAAACGACAAGAGATCAAGAAATCAGAATCCGCTGAATAAAACGACTTTCGTTTAACCCATATGGCTTAATTTTAGTCGTGAGTATTTAACCAACAGTGCATACCAACTGGTGAAAAAAGGATGCAAAGCAAGAATAATGTATACTGAATACTGTATTATAGAGCAAGTAGAAATGAATTCTGCACAACTCTTCCGAAATATGATGAAAAACGTAATAAAAATTGTCATCCGTGGATAGTATCGTTCACATGTAACATTTAAAATATCGCACTCAGGGCATAGCAGGACTCGCAAATGTGACATGTCACCGTAAGTGTGCAATCGTTCTATGAATCGAATACTGGTAAAATATAAATCTAACAACGTTATGAACTGTTGTACAGATGTTGCCATCATATGTTCAGACAAACTGTTTCAAATATTCACCACTCTCCGTTCGAAGCACAGTGGGTGGGGAACTCGTTTCACATCCGGTACGACAAGTTTGTAGCTGTGTCCGAGTGTGTTGCATGGCCCTTATAATTACAGCATTGGCCTCAGCAAGAGGAAGTCACCGAAATGTAGGATACGGTAAGTCATAATGAGGTCGACTCGCACCCGACGGTAGGACAAGGTGTAGAGTCCTAGTTTCTCGCACCGGTCTTCATACCCAAAGCCACGTAAACTCGGAATGAGCCTGATAGCAACGTATTGGATTCGTTCGATTTTTGTGCCTAGCCTCGGGTCATCGGAAAGTAGGCGGACGAACCGTACTCCATCACTGGGGCTGGCTTGCCGAACAACCTCCTCGTGGTGCCAGCTGCGTGGTTCGGGATTTTCCCGTTCCAGCAAATGGTTCGGCGGCAGTGTTCCAGGACGTGGTGGGTTTTCGCCTGGCAAGCGTTCTCCCTATAAAAAGCCACATATGTCCGTTTAACAACACTGTGACGTGGCGGACGTGACTCGCCACTAAATAAAGTCACTGCCCCTTGCTTCATCCTGGCGAAGCATTGTATTCCAGCAAGTTGATGCTGTAATTTCGGGGAGCATTGGGCCCCTGTTTGGCAAAGGAACAAACGAAAGGCGTATGAACTGATCAATCAGTCACCGGCTCCCAATGGGCGCGATTCCCTGAATTCGCTCCGCTGCCTTGCGGACAGGCTATTCAGCCAAAGGCTCGGGGTGGTGTCCCCTAAGTCAACACCCTACTTCGGCTTGGGCAACCGGGTAGTATTTCGCCCTCTGACGAAACCGTGGACATTGTTGTGTTGTGTTGTGTTTTCTTTTACTATTTCTGTACCTTGTTTTGAGTTCCATGGTTTCCGATGGTGCAATGTCTATTCATAGACTGTTGCAAAAAAATATAAAATAATAATACTCCATCACTGGTCTGATGATGGCAGAGAAGAGCTCGGTTGGCAACCTCTTCAGACCATGCGTCGAAGCTATGTTTGAGTGTCCAAAGCATGCGCAGTCCCTTACGATATAGCCTGTTCGTGTTGTAGACGGACTTCAAATCGTAGCGCGAGAGTACACCTAGGTCCTTCACGGAGAATGGGGAATATAGCGGTTGGCCATCAAATGTGTAGGTTCAGCCGTCAGCACCCTTCCCCAAGCTCATAAATACAGACTTGGCTAAGTTGACCGGGAGATGAACTTCTGCAGACCATGTGGATAGGCGGTTGACGGCTTGCTGAAGTAGGTCACAGTCGTCGGAAGCGTCAATTTCTCTCCAAATCTTCATGTCATCCGCAAACAAGGCACACGGCGACCGGAGAAGCTGTGGTAGATCATTTATCGGGATCAGGAACGGAGTGAGCCCCAGCACAGTGCATTGAGGCACGCCAGTTGCAGAGGGATACCAGTCAGATAGATGGTTGTCGACCTGTATCCTCCACTTTCGTCCAACAAAAAGGTCGCGGATCTACCGGTGCAGAGGCACCGACACCGCACATCCTGACCTTGTCGAATGCCTTACTGAAATCGAGGAATATCACGTCGATAGACTTCCCCTTGCTTATTGCCTTTAATCATTCATGTCTCATCACAAGCAAGTTTGTAATACATGCGTGGCCTTGCAGAAAACCGTGCTGTGCGGACGTCAGGACCTCTTTTAACTAGTGACTTGCAATAACCCCTTTTTTACGATTTTCTCAGCAACCTTTGCCAAAATAGGTGTCACAAATTGACTTGTAGTTATCCATTTTGCTACAATCGCGAACTTTCGGAATAGGCTTTATCACCGAACATTTCCAGTCAATCGGCAACGAAACTTCGGATAGCGACCTGTTGAGAAGGTCAGTCACGACAGGAGAGGTGATGGCCGAAAATGACTTGAGAATCAATGGGTGAAGCCCATCGGGTCCGGCAGGTTTGGTGCCGTCAAGGCTGCTCAGTAGTTGACATACCTCTTCAACGCCGCAATCCAGACTGTCGAGTTCGGTCAAAGCGGTACACGTCAAACTCGGAATAGACACCTGGTTATTTGTAAATACAGAAGAGAAGTGTGCCGTCAACGCGGACACACGCTCAGTGCTAGAGGGTAGTGGTTGCCCGTCCGGGCTATCCAGCACTGGCACATCCCCTGCCGGCTTCAGGCGTCTTTTTACGTAAGCAAAGATTCGCTTTGGGACGGTCTACGCGGCGATTGCGAGCTGTTCTTCGAAATGTCGCCGCTTATTCTTTTTTGCACTGTTGCAGAGGTTCCGCTGACTTTCATACCTTTCGTAGTCATTGACAGAGCCAGAGAGGAGGAATCTGTCCCACAGTCTGCATCGCGTCCAAGCCAGATTTCCATACTCCTTGTCAAACCAATGAGGCTTAATCGGTCCAACCTTCCGAAATTTCAAGGGCACAAATTGGGTCAAGATACGTAGGTGAGGAGTGAAACGAACCAACTGGAATTGAGTGAATTCTCGTTGTGGGGAAGTTTAATTATTTGTTGTCCGAATAGTGTGACACACGACCTAAATCTGAATGAGGCTTAGTGTGAGGCGAATTCCGTCTTAGTTAGTTCACTGGACTGCCTCTGAGGCAAACAAAGACTAGATTTTGTATGCGCCCAATATTGCTCCCCACGAGCCGTCCTTGTTTAGACTCCTTAGGTAGTGATAACTGGACCGGGAACTGAATCCACGCTGTTCAATCGCAAGAAACCAGTTTCCGCTGATGTCTCACATTGTAAGTTGGTGTTCCAGTCTAGTTAACTGACTGATACAAATAGATCGCTGACGATGAATTGGAGCAAGGAAAACAAAAGCTACATGGTGAAGCAAAAATGAAGAGAAACCTCGAACCCATACTCCATCATAAAGTAGGACATAAAAAGTGATGTACAAAGTGAGTACTCAGACTTCGGTATGCGATGGAAAAATGTCCATGCACTTAAAATAGAAAAAACGGATACTTGGGATTTCATAACAGGTATCTCCCTTTGCGTACAGCAGGGTGCAGCAGCCTGGGAGATGTAATAGCAAGTAAAGCAATAACCCGCAGCTACAACTTGGACTAGTTTAGTAGCTATGAACCGAGCAGGGAAGACCGATGCATCCAATTGTTTTGACTAGAGTCTCCTCATTAGAGAATAAGCCTCGAAAATGGAAAGAGGAAGAGGGCAAACGAAGTCAGATTAAGAGAGTGGAAAAACGAACGCCGGAGTCAAAAGGATAACGAGCAAAAACAAGACGGCAAATGCCACAGAGCTACCGACACATTGCAGCGTGTTCGATAGAGATGGTCGTTTTCACGGGACCTATGGTTGGCAGCATCCGATTCGGGATTCGACTGTCACTGCGGTCCCCACAAAAGGCGGGGCCTACTAGATAGACATGTGTGTACGATTCTATCGAATAAAGATGCAATGTCTTGAGGGAAAGTATTGTTAATGCTACGACGCGAACACCAAAGTTAGACGCTGAAAAGTGTCTTTAGGTGCATGTTTGAGAAACCCAGGTGTGCTTAGTCTGGGTTCCATTATTGAGGAACGTCACCTGAACGGCAGTTTGGAACCGCCAAGTGTAGTGAATAGAGTAACTTAGTTAAGGTCACAATAATTAGTGAGGACGAGGGGCGGCAATGAAAACGCCACGACTGATGTGGTCATCACAATAATGGCAGGCAGACCTCTTGGAGAACAAAAACACGCGGGCAAGTATGAGAAAAACCGATGGAAGGAAAAGGGACGAGAAGGCAAAAATGTGAGATGGAAAGATACAAAGCAAAAATTGGGAGTCAGTGCGAAAACATCTTTACTATTTCAACTGAGCAATGTTCGAAAAAAGCACTAACCGCCGATGTGGTCTATTTCGAGGCCTCCATCCAAAAGGTTCAACAAAAAACGCGGTTAAGTGTCTGACTGTGTCTTTCATACACAGATCGCCTCTTTAATGGCTTCACTCAGAGAAGCACATTCCAGCCAGCTACGTAAGCTGAGATACCCGGATACGCTTTATAAGAATGCAAAACAACCAAGATACAAGGGCTAAGCATAAAAGATGCTCCAACAAAGCACTGGTTTGCTGATAAACCCGAGAACAACATTCCCCGTTCGGTGCTGTCACTAGATACGAGTTGTAATTCGTAAGTGTGATCAAAGAAGAATGGCATATGTGCATACGTTCATGTCCTTTATACAATCAACCAGAAGGATCACACCTAAAAGTAGTATACCAAACCTGACTGGATAGGTAATATCCCGAATTCACTGGACGGTTGAAGATGCTCAGGAAACTCGAGGGCCGCTCAATCCGCACAATGGCCTCTTTAGGGACCTGATCACGTTGATACGGCTGACGTGCCAAACCACCTCATCGAAGTGAGCTGGATTTGGGTTATTCCAGCAAATGGTTTGGTGGCAGTGCTTCAGGGTGTGGTGGTGAAAAGCAATTTCCCTATAAAAA